TTTCTAGTCCCCTTAAATTACTAAATAACGACTCCAATAAATTCTCTCTTTCCCCAATAATATTTTTTTTAGTAATAAAAACATCTAGAGCCACCAAGCGACGTCATATATTGATATCATACAAACTGCTATTAGCATTAATAAATGTTTAAGTATACAAATTACTCCACCAAGTATCTTTTAGTGCTGTAAATTTAGAGCACTAAAAGAAATTTAAAAAAAAAATACAACTATAACACATTAATATTTGTGGAGATTATGTTATGAACTTGTTTATTTTAGTGTTTGATATGACTAGTTAGTTTCTTTGTTTAATTGTAGTCATTGCATAAATACTTGAAAACTCTATGAGAAGAAGATAATATTCTCGTACCTGCTCCCTATATTTTCTTAAGACATTGCAATGCCCCAAATGTCTTTTACATTATTAGGTGACATTAGTTTAGATAACATAAAAACAACCTAAAAGCACATAACAAACCAATGAAGGATTCAACCACAATCCAAAAAAAGAACATGTTAACCCCTGACCCAGGCAACAAACAAAATTTTAAAGTCAAGATCTAAACTTCATCAACACCCATACCCTATCCATGCTTGATAACAAAGCATGCATGACACAAAGTACTCTAAATCTATAAACACACCAATAGAAAAAAAAATGATCCAATTATAAGAAAAAATAAATGAAGTGACATCAATATCAGAAGAGCTGCAAAAGATAGCTCTTGAATACACTAGTATGATGAAAAGACCAACCTAATGGTAATAAACCAGCAGTTGTAGCCTCACTCAACAACCGTGGATGCAAAACAAAACCAAGAACTATCTTCAAATGCATGAAAACCAAAAAAATAAAGTAATAGCAAAAACAAAATTAGCAGAAGTTGCTTTTTTCATAAAGTTGTTAATCTTTTTTAATATATACAAACAACACGAGGGCCACATAAATTTATAAGAGGATCATTAAATAACAATCATGTCATTTCTTCTTATTGAACAAATCATGGGAAGCATTTAGTTCTATATGCCTAAAGAAAAGGACAAGTTATTTAGTTAAACTAGTTCTTTAAAATTTAGAGACTTAATGATTAAGCAAAGTTGAACTGATTCTTTAACAATACAATACATGACTCTTTTCATTTATTAGAACTAGAACTTTTATTTTATTATAATTAAAAAAAACTAAAAAGAATAATTTTTCATTGTGCACCATGACACAATTTATTGTTAATTAAAATAGTAAAATGATCATTTTGTTATTCTCAAACAAAATAATTTAACTAGCTATTGAGAGAAAAAATATTTTTTTCTAATCCATTTATTATTATGATATTGATTGGGAATAAATCAGTTCTTTAACATATTACATGCAAAGTGAAATGATTTAAATAAAAATTTAAAGCATAAAGATTAAAACTCAAATACAAAATAAATTTTATATTTGATTGAAAGGTGAAATTAAAAGGAAAAATCAATTTAATAAAAGGATAAAAAATAAAAAGAATGAGGATTAAAATTGAAATTATAAATACAAACAAGTTTTTTATTGAAAGGTGAAATTGAAAAGAGAAATCAATTTAACAAAAAAAACAAAAATAAATAAAAGAATGGGGACTAAATTGAAAAAAATATATGACAAATTGGAATTCAAGGAAAAAAATGAAAAAAATTACAAAAGAAACAAAAATTAAAAATTAAAAATCAAAATAATAAGGAATGAAGTTAAAATACAAACAACAAAAAAGATCAAATTATAATTTTCAAAAAATAAAAAAGAAAAAAAAAACAAAAACAAAAACACACTAGCAACATACCACCACATCAAAGCCCACACATGTCCAACCAATAGAAAAATAATATGGTGGTATTTCCAATAACATAATGGAAGGGTATTTTTTATGTCTAGAGGTGTCGCATGCGCAAGCGCAAGATGTGATGGCACTTTCCATGCATCGGTGAGTGAGCCATAAATACCTATATTTTTTTTTATTAGTTTTATTTTTAGTCAAATATCAAATTACCTCTAAGATAACCTAATAATAATGAAAAAAACCATTTGTGAAAAGATAAAAAAACTCCTTGACACCAATTTTTAAAGTTTTGCTTTTAAGAGTTTTTTGGTTTCTTCATTATATGTTTTTTTTTATTTTTTATATATGTTCAAATACCAAATTATCGCTTAGCTGACCCAAAAATAATAAAACAATCATTGTAAAAATATATATAAAAAAAATTCATGCTTTTTAATTCTTTTATTTTTTAATGGTATTTTGATAGTTTTATTATGTTTTTTTTAATTAAAAAAAAAGCATGTTTATTCCCGGTTAATTTGGTAATAAATAATAGACTTTATGAAAAGATTTTAATGTCCTCAATGATAAGTGTTAAATTTTTTTGATGAAAAAAACAAAATTATAAAAATACTATTCTAGCTAATAGTATTTTTATTTATATGCTAGAATGTTTTTCATTTATTTTTTTATCTTTATTAATTAGATAAGAGGATTAATTATGGAATTGGATTCTTCGGTTACGATAGATCTTATTGCAAGGGAGAAGATTAATATGGATGAGATCTATAGCTTGATCATGAAAGCTAAGGATTTATTGGCTAGAGAATAGTAGATTAAAGCAATTCACGTAGCCGAATTGCTTGAAAGATTGGCTGCGGAGGCCATAAACTGAATGCCTCTGGCTCAAGTCTGAGTAGCGAGCGTTGTGGTCCAAGTAAAGTTTTGGTCGGCCTTTGTCCGCTGCGATCAACACCCTACCTGTGATTTCACTCTGGTATTTAAATTAAACCCAGGCAAGACCGGATGTATTTTTTAACATGGAATTTAAAATCTACTAGTATGTATATTTTATTTTTCTAAAAAATTTATATTTTTTAATGTCAAATTAAAAAATTAATTTAAATACTTCAATTTATTTAATATAATATTTTTAATAAAATATATATATATATATGCTTTTAAATTTTATTATTTATAATATATATAATCTATATTTACATTAATATTTTTTTTAATGTAGTTTTTATTTCATTTGTGCTTATGAATTCACATGTCCAACAGCTACTTTTAGATTTTCAATAATTGCTTGACTTGGAGTAGCTTGAATTTGGTTTTAGTTATCAAGAAAGTCTGTCAAACGTCCATCAAGCTGTCACTTGTGAAAACTCCTTTGATGGGATCATAGGCCAAGGTGTCTCTTATTGGAGGGGCAAACTTCTAGCCACCATGGAAATCTACCTCAAATATAAATCTAAAATTTTAAAAAAATCATTAAGTTTTTTTATTTTTTATTTAATTTTTTTAAATTAATTCATAAAATTCGAATTCAACCGAATCAACTCTAAAACTAGATTTAATAATTATATTTAGCATCTCAAGCACTGTTGCTAAATCACAGCTTGATTTGATGGGTTCTAGAATTAGATTAATTTTAAATTTAACTCATTGTTTTAAGTTTTATAAAACAAAAAGGTTGGCCTTGTATTATTTAATTAAAAATTCGGGTTGATTTGTCATTCAATCAATAATTTTAAATTAACCTCATAAAAATCTAATAAATTTTATTTAAAAAAATTAAAATAATAATTAGATTTTTATTAAAAAATTTTAAAATAATATTATTATAAAACTCATTTTTCAACCAATTTAATATTAAATAATAAAATTAAAAAATACAAAATATACAAGTTGTGTTTGCTAATAAAATTAAAAAATACATAATATACAAGTTGTGTTTGCACAGTTAACTCGTGATATGAGTTATAAAACCAGGATAACTTCATAGAAAATACATAAAAAAACAACTCGAGTTATCATATTAAACCCGCAATTTGGATTACAAGACTTAAATAACCATAAAAAAATAACAAAAAAAAATCTAAGTCAATTCAATTAATCTACTAAATCAGTAGCATGACTTATATAACTAAGATAATTATTAAAAAAAAAAACAAATCACAATATATTTTATCTTTGATATGTATCAATCTTCTATTTTAATTTGTATTTTTTTTTATTTATTTAAAAAATTATCAAAATCATAATATTAAAACTTGATATGGGACAAGATTCAAGCAATGTATAAAAGAATTAATATGGATCAATACTAATTTTGTTTTTTATATAAAAAAAAGTTAAATCAATATTTTAAAAAAATAAATAAATATGTTAATCATCAAGTTTTAACTGCATTAAACTCGAATTAATCAAGTCACCAAGTTAAACTATATTTTTAACATAATCAATAATCAATCATGTTTTTGTATTATTTTTGTCATAATCTTGACAAGTCCATACCTTAGATTAGTTGATAATAAATTTGGATTGATATCAAATTCTTTTAAAAAAAATCAAATTAATTATATTAAAAAAATTAATTAATAAATTGATAGTCGAGTTTTCACTGCATTACCCTTAAGTTAATCAAGTAACCAGCTCAATCTATATTTTTAATATAGTCAGCGTGTTTTTTTTAACCTCGATAGGTCCATGCCCCGAGTCAGTAAAATTCCAAGTGGACATGTTTAAAACCATGTCAAAACATTAGTTTAATGAGAAAATTATCCCGTTTGCTGAGGCCGAATAAAATAGTGGATTAGGAAACTGATTAGTTAGGAGACTCTCATCAACGACGCAAGGAAGACAAAAGGCATCGTTTGCACAGTTGCACTTGGTTTTTTTTTTTTTTTTTAAACTCCTCTCAATATTTACGTGGCCGAGTCGTATTCATGCCTGCCTCACTTAACCACCGATCAATAGTTTGAAACATGTTAGGTCGATCCTCTACGTAATGTGATTTGTCTTTATGCGACAATCTCGACAAATTAAGTGCACTGTCTCGAACAATTAATCTTATTAAACTGCATGTTTGGTTAGTTTGATGCCTTCTTATCTAAGGCCGGTTGTTGAGTTTTTTTACATATGATCGATCATCCATGTCGAGCTTGGAAAGAAGATATTGCCCTCTCAACACTTGCGCTCTAAATGTTATGCTATGATGCCAACGTCAAATACCTGTGGCCCTTCATCTTGTTCCTGTTAGTTGTAGCTCCCGGCGGGGTTGCTGCCGCCGACCGGTTTGGTTTGCCGGAGCGGGACACTCCTACGCACCTGAACTTCTTCCGGTCGGCATTGCGGGGGAGGCAAAGAGTTTTGTCATGTGCCGACGATCCTAACGTGTGTGTGGATCGCGGGAAGAACCCATGGGGAGGCAGCACATGTTGCTTCAGGAAATTCTGCAAGGATACCTTGAGGGATTCGGACAATTGTGGGGCATGCGGGCAGACATGTGCTTATGGATTTGTTTGTTGCGATGGGAAGTGCGTTGATCTTCGAAATGATCCACGCCATTGTGGTTCTTGTTTTCAGGAGTGTCCTGGACAAGGTAGGTGCTCCTTTGCAATGTGTGATTATAGTGGATGAATAATGGTTGATCAATAAATTTCTTGAAATTACTGTTTCCTTCATTCTAGTTGTTTTGAATTGCTTGGCATGAGCTCACAAACCAAAAGTTGGGCGCTATTGGATCTTCGTTAATATTATTTTTTTTATTTTAAAGAAATTATATTTAATATTAGTATTTTAAAATAATTTAAAAATATTAAAAATATATATTAATTTAAAATAAAAAAAATATTAAAATACAAAATAAACAGGAAGAACCGATATCTTATTACATCATCGTGTACTTAATACTTTTTTTCTAAATTAATCTTGAAGAAGGACTCGATGGTCGACAACACGTGGAGGTAGGTTCGAAAATAATTTATAATCATTGATTTAGTTTGAGCTATGAGCATAATTGTCTAATTAATTTAGAGATTATGAGATAATTTGGATCAATAATCTTTATCAAAACTTTTATTTTAACTGGTTATTACTTTATAGTTATTTTATTTTATTTTTATTCAAATTAAAACGTGCTCTAGATTAAATTTTGAATTACAAGTTTACCGTGTGATTCCTCTTTTGATGTGTAGAACAAGATTTCACCTAATTCTTTTCCTTCTCTTTGTGATTTTTTCTACTGTTTTATTGGGATTATTTTAAGTCTATCTTTTTGGTTTCCTTTTATATATCTCCTCTCAGACGCTACTGGTTAAATTAAGGTGGCAATTACTTCAAAGGGCAGGCTTCTATAATGTGAAGCCGGTGGCTTTGGGGTGAATGTAACCAAATGAGTGTTTCACATTTAGTTTGGAATTCTGCTGTTGATTATTTTTATTTTTATTTTTATTTTTGAAAATATATTTTTAAAATTTATTTTTAAAACTGATATATTAAAACGATTTAAAACTATTTAAAAAATTAATTTAAAATTAAAAAAATAAAAAAATCATTTTTTTTCCAAAAAGCTTTTAACAAACAATAACAATCGGGATCTAAGTGCTATTAATCAGGAAAAACAGCAAATGAGATTTGGCAAGATAAAGGGCCTCCGGTCTTCATTACATTGAGATATCAACACCATGTTGCCACAACGTAGGCTCTCACATGCCAAGAAACCTTCACGTAACAAAAAATAACCTTTATTTGCTTTGTTCACCAAAACTATAGAACTTTTAGTTTATCACCATCCATTTTTATTGTACATCATTATAATAAATGCTTTTTTTTTTACATGCAAATCATTATTTTACTCATATAGCTTTATTTGGGGGCTAAAGATGTCTTTTCATGAAAATAATTAGTCTTTTCAAGAATAAACAGGGCTAAATAGTGTTTTTATATTTTTATTACTCAATATAATTACTTTATTATTCTTGTCAACAAAAAACATTAAACTTTAATAAAGAAGCTTTTTAGTTTTTGATTTAATTTTAAAATAATTATGTCATTGCCCTTATAATTTAAAAAGCTTTGCATTTGATTTAGAGGTTTTTATACCTATTGCATTTGATTATTGAGTTGTCATTATGGATCATTAGTGGCAACAAAATAATTTTTTAAATAAGTAAAATAATACCTTTTAAAAAAAAACATTAAAAGCATGTGATGCCAATTTTAAAAGGCATGTGCAACATTATCTGTGGCCAAAACCTTGCTTCTAGAGCAACGGTTGAAGCATCTTAATATCCCTTTCACGTACAAATAGTTTGTGTGGCTTAATTGGCTTTTATTTGGTGTGTGTGGCCATATATCACCTCTCTCCTACTCAATTTTCATAGTGGCCTTAAAAAAATCAAATCAGCCCTTGAGGTTTGTTATCCTTATAATTCTATCTTTTTTCTTTTTTATTATAATTTTTTTATTTCAAGTAATTTATAAAATTAAGGTTTTTTTTTTTAGTTTCATCCCCAACATATTTTTTTCATCTGTTATATTTGATTTTCACTCTTTTGATTACTATTTAATTTATTTTAGATGGTTTTTTAAATTATTTTTTTCTTTACAATTTCATCCTTATTGAGTTTTTTTCCTATCAAATATAATATTTATATTATTATTACTACTATGTCTTTACATTGCAAGACGTTTTTAGATTGACCTTTTATTCTTATTTAATCCTCCAACATTTTAATCGGTGGGGTGTTTCGCTTTTTAGTTGAGTTTGAATTTAAAATTTAATAGGTTGCGGGTTTAAGAGATTAACTCCAATTTATGAAATTCACACGGACTTCATTGGTTTTTCCTCTTTTTTTTAAGTTTTTTTTTCATCCTCCAGCATTTTGTTACTTTTTTATTACTTTCTATGAGATTCTTTAGTCGTTTTAAAAATAATACAGGTTGTCTTGTTTATTTGATATTTTATTTTGGTCTTTTTAAAAATTTAACTTTTTAAAGTATTTTAGTTTTTAAATTAAATTAAATTAATTTATTTATTCCTCCAACATTTAACTCTTCAGGTGTTGAGCTTCTTTGTTTAGCTCAACTTTATAATTTAATGGGTTATAAATTTGAGAAATTAACTTAGGTTTACAAGATTCACTTAGGCTTACATGGTTTTTTTCTTCTTTTTTAAGTTCATTTTTTTTTCCGGTTTCATCCATCAACATGGACTTGGTCTTGAGTCGACCTCCAAGTTAGATTTTAAAAATATAATAATGATCATTCTTATCCTTACAATGACTCGAGTCAATAGTCGACCCGGCTCATGACCCAAACCTGATCTTGAGTCGACCACCTAATAGAGTTTTAAAATTATAATAATAACCATTTTTATCCTTATAGTGACCCAAATCAATACTCAAACTCGTGATTCGGGCTTAGTTGATTAGGCCTAGCCTTAAGTCAAGTTTGAAAACTATGATAATAACAATTTTTATCCTAAAATTAACCTGGGAGTAATGTTTTTTTTTCTTTCAAAATTTTCCTCTCACATTTTAATTTCCCAATTCATATAAAGATTTCTTTTTTACATTCATTTAGAATATAAATTCATATATCATAAAATTTTTTTGCAGTGGAACCATTAATACCCTCTGTATATATACTAGTTAAATAGCTCACGCTGCGCTACGGGTTGAGTTAATTTTTTACCAACATAAAAAATAATGTTCAATCGATATCAATATTTTAATAGGAGTAAGAAAAATATAGTAACTGAAAGAGATCGCAAGTGTTGTTAGAGTAGTGACCCGAAAAGAAAAAAAACACCATGAATTGAGTATTTCATGCTTACTTCTAGACAATTAATTTAATTTAATTAAAAAATAAAATTCTTTTTAAAAATATAGATTCAAAAAAGGTTGAAAAAAATTAATTCAAGTTAATCCTTGTTACTTTTAAAACCACAGAAAATTCTCATAGAAAACAAAGAAAAATATAACAAAATATTAGTGGATAAAACCAAAAAAATAAAGAACTTCAAGAAAGAAAAATAAAACCAAGCAAACCTGGGTGAACCTTGTAAACTCAGGTTATTCTTTCATACTCATAACTCCGTTAAATTATAGACTTGGACTAAATTAAAAAGCTCAACATCCACCAAATTAAATGTGAAATGATAAAATCAATAAATTTAATTTATTTAAAAACAAAAAAATTCTATTAAAAAAGCTAAATTTAATAAAGATCGAGCTCAACCTAAAAAGCTCAAAACCTATAGATTAAAATATTGGAGGATGAAATCAATCATTTTAATTTAATTTTAATTCTATGAAATCAATCATTTTAATTTAATTTTAAAATAAAAAAATCAATCTAAAAAAATCTTGCAAGATAAAAAAATAGCAAAAAAAAAAAGGGATTAGATTTGATAGGAAAAAAAACTCAAGAATGATGAAATTGTAAAAAACAAAAAACTATCAAAATAAAACAAATAGTAGTCAAAAGATTGAAAACCAAATCTAACAAATAAAACAAATCTATTCGGGATGAAATTGAAAAAAAATCACTAATTTAATTAAATTATTCTAAATAAAAAATTATAATAATGAGAATATAAATGAAATTTTAGAGACAACAAATCTCAGGGGCTGATTTAATTTTTTTGAAGGCCAACATGAAAATTGAGTGGAGAGAGGGAAAAATAAAAACATAAACAAAAGATCACAAACACCAAACCAGCAATAATTAAGTAATACGCATCACTTGTACTTTTAGTGGATGTTAAGATGTTTCAATTGCCACTCTGGAAGCAAGGTTTTGGCCATCAGATGACTCCACACACACCATTCAAACCTAGTAGATATTTTTCACTTGTTTCTAGCTATTTTTTTGTTTATTTATTAAATAATTGTGCTGCTCCTGATAACAACCAATAACTATTAAATAATCAAATGCAAAAGACAAAATAACTCCTAAATCAAAGGTAATTCTTTTTAAATTCCAAGGGTAATGACATAATTTAACTATTTTAAAATTAAGTTAAGAACCCAAAAGCCTCTTGACCAAAGTTTAATATTTTTTATTGTCAAGCATAATAAGATAATTACATTGTACAATAGAAATGTAAAAATACTATTTAGCCTCGTTCATTCTTATAATGACTAATAAGTTTTACGGAAGAGATCTCCGCCAACCAAGAGTAAAATAGTAGTTTCATTATTAAAAAGGTATTGTGAAACCCTGAATTCTTTAAATGTTATATTGCATTTTGTAAATATGTACCTTTTAAAGTTCAGTGTAAAACACTCACACATAATCATATAGAAAGATATAATATAAAATATATAAACACATATATAATGATATTTGATGATTTTCATTTTATAGTTTTATTCTACAATTTTATAATAAATAGCATAGCAACATTGTTTACAATTTTTACTAATTGAAACATATGAAAACTATATAGCATAGCTTCGTTTATATGTATTTAAAGACCAAGTTGTATCCTAATTTAAATTTAACCAAATAAACATTACAACATCTTTTACCAAATATTATGATCTAAAGATAGTATCTTTCCATATTAAAGATACATAATTCAAAAATGAAAGAGTTAGAATTATAATGTAAATTAAACCCAAGAATTATTG